ATATAGAATATAAATAAATGTAAATTTCTGGGAAAAAGACAAAGGGATCAGGAAAAAACTTTCTAGTAGAGACACGCCCAAACTGGTTAATGAGAAGTACACTAGCCTTTGTAGTAAAAAGGTACTTAGGTTAGATGCACAGTGGTGTATAGGGCTGGAAAAGATCTAAAGCTGGGTCAGAAACTAATTGTTTCCTAATGCTCATTCACTTCTTTTATACGACAATAAAGACACCAATTGTTCACTAAGCATATGGTCACCTAAAACAAAACAACATATTCTAGCACCTCATCACTTAGGTATTGCCATGTAACCAAGTTCTGCCAATGACATGTAAGAAGTGAGTTTTGCACCTTAAAAGATGAAGTTTTAAAGGGAAGATGTGTGTCTTCTTCCACTTTTCCTTCATCCTGCTGTTTGAACCATGGCTGTGACAGCTAGGGCTACCTTAAGACACCAGGACAAGAGAGTGTGTAGGCAGTTTTAAAATGGGGTTTTAGCAGAGCCCATTTACTAAGCAAGAAGTATTGACAGTTTTATTCACGCTATCTTTTAAAGGATATTTGTAAATGAAACAGCTTCGTAAGACAGAGACTTTCTCTCCAAACTCTCTTTGAGTCAGAGAGCAAAAATGTTCCTGGACCAGAATTAGGAAGATAGAATCTCCCTTCAGAGCAAAGGTTAGGCAGGTTTATCGGTGGCCTCCTTTAAAGGATTAGCATGTTTTAAGCTCCGTATCCCTCACCTGAGGAAATGCCAGCTGCATGTGCAGTATTTACCTAAGTCTCTCTGTGCCGCCTGGTCTGACCTGGGGAGACCAGAAGAACTAGCATGGACACAAAGCCCATGCCGCCTATTGTGCTGAGAGTAATAAAGCCATTTTTCTCTGACCCAGGAGTCTTGTGCCTTTTTCCAGTATCTGTGAAACTGTGGTAGGCTAATTTGTTAGGCCTCAAGTAGGGTGAAATTTCAGATTCCTCACAGTTCTTGACAAAGTGTCTTGTTCTACAGAAGATACAGTTAAAAGGGTTAACAGCCTGGGTCTCAACCCTGGCAAGCTTCTTTACACATATTTGGACCTATAATCTAATATTTGTTTATTATATTTCTGATTATATTTTTGTTACACACATTTGAACCTATAATCTAACAGGATTTGTTTCCTGCAACTGCTATGTTGCAACATACCAGAATTTTAAATATTTGGTATGGTATCTGGTAACTAGGTCTCAAAACACGGAATCTTGGTTGCTCAATTTTAGGTAAAACTCTTCTGTATGCTGAATGAACACGTAAGTTATGGAAGTAATAGGAAAGATTGATTCTTGCCATTCTCAGCAAAATTCTAGAAGAATTTACTTTAGCTTTACTTATGTCTGGGATATTTCTGAGCTTCTGCCAGTTTGTGGCATTGAGGAGATATACTGGTCAATATTCATAGCAAACTGAACTCTGAACCTGATGATTCCTAAGAATGCTATTTTTCTGTTCTCTTCTCATTGCCTCAGAAAAGAATCCCAACTTCACAGCATGATATGTAACCCCTACCTACATTCTCATTCTGATCTTTTCAGCCTACCAGCTGCATCTCTTCTTTCTTCTCCTCCACCACTGCCCCTCCTGTCAATATGGCAGACCTGTCAGTCTTTATTTATCACCTGCTAGACCTTGCATGCCCCTCGTCTTTATACTCAATGCCTTCCCTGTGTGTAATGCTTTCCCCCATTTCTTTATCTTACAAATTTCTACTCATCTTTCAACTCTAAGTTAAAATGTCACATTTCCTTTCTTGCTGTGAAACTGTCAGCTGTCACTTCCTATGTTTTCAGTACATTTATTTCTAGTATCAGACTCTTCTCTGCACTTCAGATACTCAGCATCTAATTTGTCTTTGTAGTGAAACAAAACAAGCAGTCAATCAGTCCAAACTATGACTAGATTGTGAGGGGAGATCTGAGAAGACAAACTTTAATAACTGTTCATGAAGTTCTGTGCATGTATTCTAGCATTTATTCTCAATGCTTAGGGTATATTGTTTCTATCCCTTGGTTATTTTTAGGACTTTAACAATAATTATAATAATAGTTCTTATTACTGTTTTTTTAATTTTTATGTCCTAGTTCTTAGTAAATTTGTAAGTAGGTTATGAATAATGTTGGTTGATAGAATGTATTTGCAAAGTACATAATTTTCAAAATCTTTCCAAATATTGAAACACAACTATTGGTTTTAACAGTGGATTTAAAGCTTGTTCCTCAGGGAAAGTTCAGCTATTTACTCTTTTCAGTTAATCTTGCCCTAGTGTTAATCAATAATTTATTTCATATTATTAAAATTGCAATAATTTCATTGTTAACCTGTAAACCATATAATACTTTGAAGGACACTAAAAGGGAAATATTCCAAATGAAAAATCACTAATAATATAGCTTAGGTTTTAATAATTTATATAATGATAGCAATTATATTAAACCTTTACTTTACAAAAGGAACAATCAAGTATTATCTCATTTTTCTCAAGATGTTACATAAATTTCTTTATTGTATAGTCCCTTGTGTTACTGGATTTTACTAGGGGAAAGTTCACAAAGAAAGAGAAACTAAATGAATAGTGGTTTGTAATATACATAATTATATTAAAGAAGTCAAAGATATTGTTACTTGTGAACTTTGCAGAAACATTTACACATAAAGGCTGTACTAAGAGGCTCAATATTTGGCTTCTGTCATGTAAGGAATATGTTTAATTATCATTATTTTTATATACATTTAGCTATATCTTTGTTAGCATTTTAATAATTTCAGAAAAAAGTATACTATTGGACACACATATTGTATGATCAGCTATGCTAATTTCAGATAAATTGATTTTTCTGTGATTTATGCATATAATGTGTATAAATAAATAGATTAACTTGAAATCAGCAATTCCTTTAAAACAATAGAATAGGAGAGGGGGTACTTTTCTTATGCATAAAGTATGTACCAGGGACTGTGCTAGGAGCCTCGTGTGATGTTACTTACCCAATAAATAAAATTTCCAACAAAAGAATTTTAAGTTTTAATAATAACACCTCAAGATTATAGCATACTTCTTTTGAGTTACAGCTTCAATTTAAATGAAATATAGAAAGAAATGAAGCTTAGGTTTCATGAAGGGTTTAGGATGATAAAAACTTCTGAGTAGAATAATTATTTCACTTCTGGGTGCTTTTGCAAGCTACATTGTGCAATACTTGTCGTTTAAAATGCTCTTATTGATAAATTTTGACATACCTCAAGATTGAGAGCTGGCAGACAACCTGTGAGTAATCAAGCAAAGATGCATTACATCCATAAAGTCACACTTGGGCAGTCAGAAACATTTTATCATAAGAGGCATCAAGAGAAACATAAACAGCTTTTGAAAAAAATGTCTCCAGGACTTAAAGTCAGTTTAAACATCATATTCTGGAGTTATGAAAGGATATTAGAGCATAAGTCTATAAATCTAAGACCTGAATGGTTTCATATGCTAAGTAATAATGTTTTCATATGCATTTGCTTAGAAACTGAAAAGTATAGAATTAAGTTTATTTATCAATATATTAACCATATGTCCACTGGTAAAACAAAAATTCCACACCTAATCTTATTAAATATAAGCAAGTCATATCTCTCCTCTGCTCAAAATCCTGTAAGAGATTCCTTTTTCATTCAGGGTAAATATATACAAACATCTGTATGAGGCCCCACATTGTAACTGACCTCTCACCTCACCTCCCACACCACCCTCTGTCTGCTCCAGCCACGAGGGCTTCTTTTCTGCTCCAGGAAATTTGTACTCATCTGTTCACTTAGCCTCAAAACTTCTTCCCCAAGATATTCCTGATTTCACCTTCCAACTCTACTCTCTAAATTTTTGTGCAAACATTATCTTCTCAGTGACTTTTCCTGTTAATATATTTAAAATTGTAACTACACCCCCCAAAGTTGCACTCCTAACCACACTTCCCCTGTATCTACAGCACTTAGCATCTTATAAAAAAATATATAATATATATATGTTTATTTTGTATGTTATGTCTACCCTCTCCTCTGGAAGAATTGAGTGCACAGATTTTTTTCCTGATTTGTTCATGGATATATTAAATAAACTTTGGATAGTGTACAGTAAGTACTAGGCATTCAAAAATATGTGCTGAGCAAATGAGTAAATAAGTATATGCAACTGTGTTCGTCATAATGATGAAATGTTCATGGTTCTGATCAAACAGGCAAGATGTACTTTATTCAAACAATATATTTCTGATCATTTAAATGCCATTATGATGAGTACTTATTTTCCTGAGTTCCTATCATACTTGTCTTTAATGAAATAATAACGACAAAATTAATGTATCGTTTCAGCAATCTTCAGTTGGACTAGTGTCATTGCACACCTTTTTCCCACAAAGTCTTATCTATCTGTGTAACACATGAGCTGTAGCATAGGCACTGAGAAGGAAGCTGGTGTTATGACAGTACTTGTTTAGGTTATCACATTTATTCAGTGCTCTGAACTGTGGAGACAGAACATGAGGAATAGCATAAGGCTAGTGCAAACCAAATGATCAACAAGTAATCAGTTTTATCTTAACTATGGTCATTTTCAAGAACTGGAGGTAATATAACTTTAAATATCATAAGTATTTGTTAAAAATAATACATAAATATTATTTAATTATTTGTACAATCTTCAATTAAATCTGTCTAACATTTTAGAAATAATGGAGATTAGAAAATTATAACTGTTCTTATTTCACCTAGTATATATGCCGCACATTGGGATGGTGGGGATTCCAGGTATCTGTAATCATGTATTGAATACCTTAAACATTTTTTTCCATTTGAAGTAACATATTTTGAACACATTTGAGGCTTATACTGTGATTGAAAATTTATTTTTAAGGGACTTTTCCTTTTCTACATTTTGTCATACAGACTAATATTAAAGTGCATTTTTCCAATTGTGCTTTTAGGTTGTATTCAGTTGGAGGTCGTGATGGAAGTTCCTGTTTGAGTTCAATGGAATATTATGATCCTCACACAAATAAGTGGAACATGTGTGCTCCGATGTGTAAGAGGAGAGGGGGTGTCGGGGTGGCCACGTGCGATGGTTTTCTTTATGCAGTAGGTGGGCATGATGCTCCTGCTTCAAACCACTGTTCCCGGCTGCTAGATTACGTGGAAAGGTAAGAACCCCAAGGACACAGATAGCAGTGCAAGAAATAATGAGGATTACATTGATGCTGAATTCATGTGATTATAAAAACTGCATAATTTGTAAAGGTAAATTCAATTATTAGAGCTGTTTGTTTAGTCTCTCTCTCTCTCTCTCTCTCTCTCTCTCACACACACACACACACACACACACACACACACACACACACACACATGGTTTCATTCTTTCTTATTTGTTCTCCCTCCCTCCTTTCCTCCATTCTTCCTTCCCTCCTTCCTTCCTTCCTTCCCTCCTCTCCTTTCTTTCTCTTTCTTTCTTCAAGTCTTACAATTTTTTTTACCCTAAAGAAATATTTAAATGTTTCTTTAATGCACTTTTAAAAGGTCAATTAAAACACAGTTTTAAGTAATTTATTAAATTTATGAATGTTTGTTAATTCTTTTTAAAAATTGTATATTTTACTTATTTTGTTTATCTTGCCTTGTTTGTTCTACTATACCTTTCAAACTCTTAAAGGTGAATTACAAACTTTGTTTTGTGCCACACATTTCTTAATGCAAGACAGACTTGTAATAACTTGATTTTCTATAATCCGGCTGAATAGGAGACATATAGGTCCTTTTTTAATTCTTCTAAAAACGGCCAGGTAAACAAAGGCTGTAGTGGAAAGGCACCTTGGCCTCAGACTTGGTTCAACAACCCAGACACTTTCTGGCATGGTTATAGCTAAGTTGTCTTTAAGGGCTGTACATCACTTAATATACTGGGTACACTAAGGATTAGTGAAACCTATTATGGTATTTACTATTACATAAGGATACATACTGCTATATAGGGAGGTGAAAATAGGGAAGTTTAAGTCAACTGCTTTATCAACTGAGATAAGTAATTCTATAATGAATAAAATTCAAAACTCTCAGTGACTTAATACATAATTTTTTTTCCTTACTTATGCTATATATCCAAGACAGCTCCATATTATTGCTCTGGTAACCAAAATGACATATAAGCTACTGAGTGACTGCTGCCGGTGCCAGAAGGGAAAAGCCAGAGAGTAGTTCACTGGTTCTCAAAGATTTCACATGCAAGTAATGTAATTCCTTTTTGTTACTTTCATGACAAACCAGTCACATGGCCACAGAAAACTTCATGAGGGTGAGAGAACAGTATCCTAATTTGTACATTGTAAAAGAATAGGAGATGTGTGGTGGATCGCATTGAAAAAAAATAACAATTTTCCTCTTAATGTTAAAAACCCACATCTTTTATACTCTTGCTGAAAAGTGGTATAGTCAGTGGGAAAAAGGTGCTCTCATTTGTGACTTTTTCCTGAGAACATGTGGTTATTTTTACTGAGAATAAGGTCACTGGCAAGCGATAGCTTTTAGTGAATAGATTTGTTCAAACTTAAGCCACTTCTTGAATAAAATATAGAACATGTTTAAGGATTTGATACTATGTGAAATGGTCTGTGAATTTATGGCTATTTAAACATACAGCATTTAAGCTCACCACAATTTCACTTCAACATTGTCTTGTCCAGTAAAATTAGGAACTAGAGGTGTTATAGTTTGGACAGTGGTCAGAGTCCAAACATATAGATGTATGTTTTTATATAGAGAAGCATGCAACCATTTTTCATAAAAATACTGCAATAGCCTGACAGCTCATTCACATTTTCCTCTGTTAAATTCTTGGGAAAAATAACAAGATGAATATGATGGAGCTCCTACTTTTCCTATGAATATCTTACATAAATGAAACTAATGAAATGCTATTACAATTTTCTCTTCTAACTTTACTACATAATATACTGAAATGTTGTTTGTGAACAGAGGCATAAATAATTCAGTCTAAAAACACATTTATGATACAAAATTAGATTTAAATAAGCTTAGCTATTTTCAGTTACAGGAGAGCAGTGGGTATGAACAACTTAAGTAATGTAGAAGCACACTGCATTATCATGATTCACATCCCAGTTCATATTATGTGTCAGATTAATAGCATTTTGCAGTTTCTATAACATATATTCTATATTGATGATTTCACATGTAAATCATCAATAAATCAAGATAAATCATGATACCTCCATAGATAAAGAATGTTTTCAATATATAATTGAGAGCAAATAAATCATTAGGAAGAACAAGAAGTAGTGTATAATGCAATGCTTTATAGATAGGTAGATAAATGGATAGAACAAATTTTATTATATGACAATGATTTCTAATGGAAATGTGAAGGAATTATATAATGGTGGTGTCAAAAAAATACAGTTTTATAAGTCATCAAAAACTATAGAATAACGTTGTCTTAAACGCAAAGAACACTGGTACCTCAAATCAGAACAGGAAAGAAGACAGGGACTTAGAACAGGGATTTTAGAACAGTTAATGGGACAGTGAGAACTAATTTTGTAGCCAAGCCTCACTTTAGTGAGAGATCTTAGTGGACAGAATCAGTGTCCAAAATATGCAGTAAGTTCTAGCAGAATTTAGGCCCAGAAGGTGCAATGTGTTAGACAAAGCACAGTTATCCATCTATTTACATATTCAACAAATACTGTTTGGCATAAATTTTTCACAATGCTAAGGAGAGCTTAAACTTATTAGATGAAAGAGACAGAGAAATAATTATAACTTTAAGATCACAAACAAAATAGGAACCAGGCAATAGATCAGAAAATATGCTCAAAGACATCAATTCCTCTACTGGCTAATAACAGCTCAGGTCCACCTTTGTCCTCAAATCTGCATCCCTGTAAAAAGGCTGACAGGAGAGGGATGCCAAGGGAATAGAAACTTCCTAAACCTGCCTTGCTTCCTCCAATTTTATTTTCCTTATGGTAGCCAGAGGGATCTTTTCCTAATGCAAATTTGACCTGAAAGCCCAAGGGAGTTTTTCTTTGCACCAATTATTAATACTGTAATGAAAAAATTTATTTGTTTTACAGTAATTTTTCCACTAAACTAGATACCATGTGATGATGAGGACCAAGATCAGCTTGTTCACCCCTATATTCCTCCACTTGGCATCCAATACCTGGCACAGAGCACTCAATGGCATTTAATGAATCAGTTAGACGTTAAGATACACAGGCCTTAAATTTGTCACAAAGAAAAGCATCTTGAGGTATACTGTAAATAAGTAGTTATATAAATTAATGCATAGATATTTGATAGATAGTGATGTATGGGTGTATTTATGTACATATGGAGGAATGGACAGATTGAGGAAAAGACATAGACAGATTTTTATTTGTCATTTCTCAATTCGCATGTGAATGCCCATTTCCATCATCACAGCATTTATATATATTTTAGGCATTTATTTAATAGAAAATATTTAGAGACTAAAATATTGAGCAAATTCTATATATAAATAGAAAATTATATATCTATATCGTATCCTCCAAACACTATTAACAAATATATATAAACAGTTTTTCTGTATTACCCACAACAAATATAAAAGTTTTGTTCAAATTCTACCAAAATCTACTCTAGTCATTTCAGAAAAAGTAATCTAAAATAACAGCATTTAATTTATTTCTGTTAAAATATGGCTCAATATTTTTATCATCTTCAGGTCTTTGATTTAAAAAAAATGAAATAAGGGAAGCTAAGATTTGCTGCCAGACATAAAGGGATAAATAAATTATTAATTTAATTAAACAACTCTTTTTAAAGTGGCCATAAACACTGATGCATAAGAGAAGAGTGGAATTTTGGAATATTTGATTTCTGTTAATTTCTCACTTCATCTTTTTGGTTTAAACACAATCTAAGAATTGTAGCATTTCCAAGCAGTGAAGAGAAATAGTAAAGGAAAGACTTCTTATTTGAATTATGTGTGCTTATCCTATGCCTTATGTAGAATGTAAATATATTAACTCATAGTTTCATATATGTGAGATCTTAAATTTTCTACAAGATAGCAATTAGTTGAACTGTTTAAATATGTTTGATAGGAGAATTTGAAATTTTTAATAAGACTTTTTTCTTGTTCTTAAGATTGCTGAATCTAGCCAAACGAATATATCATAAAATGACCAGCTAATCTGTTGTTGATATTATTTTCCTATTACTGTGCATGCATAATCTTTGTTATTTTGTATTAAAATTATGCAAGAAAAGAAAAACATGGTACACAAACAAAAATGCCAGCTAAACTCTCACAAGCATAGATGAAAATACACAAAATAAATTCAGGCAAATCAAATCTAGATATAAACAAAAAAAGGGGTAACCTATCCCAACCAATTTGAGTTTATTCCAGAAAAAGAAGATTGGGTTTGACAACAATAACAAAAAACCTAATACATGTAACTCAATACAGTAACAAAATAAACAAACATCCGAATGGATGCAAAAATATAAAATCCACACCGATCATAAACACTCTCACCAAACTTTGAAGAGAAATTAATACAAAAATAAGTAGATACTGAAATATGTTATTTTGCACTTTTCATTGGAATAAGAACAGAATGACTGCTAATACCACTTTCATTCAACGTTTTAATAAACTTGCCAATGATAAGGCAATAAAACGAAAGAAAATTAATAACAACTGGAATAAAAAAACTGTCAGTATTCAAGCTTACATGATAAATCTCTATCTTTTAATCACAATTTAATTGGAAACTATTTGATTTAATAAGTACGTTAATAAGGTAGCTATATATTCAATCAACATGTAAAATTATTTTTATTTCCACTTCCAGCAATAAATAATTGCAACATTAATGTATTCAAAGTTACAATTAAAAAGTTTTTTTCTTTTTTAAGGTTTATTTATTTATTTATTTATTTATTTTGGTATCATTAATCTACAATTACATGAAGGACATTATGTTCACTAGGCTCCCCCTTCACCAAGTCCCCCCACATACCCCTTCACAGTCACTGTCCATCTGCATAGTAAGATGCTGTAAAATCACTACTTGTCTTCTCTGTGTTGCACAGCCCTCACCGTGCCCCACACACACTATACATGCTAATCATA